TTACTTCTATCAGGGTTAGCAACCAATTCATAGCAATTTTCCAAACCAAGTGACTCCTTTATTTGCATTCGGTCGATGTTATTAGCTGTAGCAATCTGGTACATTGGGAAATGTTGCACACAGCATGATAAGTTTCCCATAGGCTGGTCTGAAATCATCTCCCCTAAACAAAATTAATACAATATTAATAATGCGATATTTTAGCTGATGATATCTAAAAGAACTAAAAAAAAAAAGAAGCAGACATTTCCATGTATGTGGCCCTATAAATTGATAATACTGTAACTAACAGATAAAGCTATATCGAAAAGATTATATTAAAGGGTAAAATTGTGAGTTTCAGCAGGAAAAAGAAGCAAACTTATAATTCTGATTTGAAACCTACCATTCAAGAATGCAATGAGCTTCATCAATTACAATGGCGCAGACATTTTTTTGATATATTGGACTGTTAGCCAGTTCTCGTCCAAATTTACACGAGATGAATGCCTCAGGATGGGCGAATAATATGTTATAATAACCACTGGCAAGTTCTTCCTTCTTGCCATGCTTATCAACATCAAACTCCTCGTTGTCATCAGTTGTGGACTGCTGTGATACATTTAGTGAGGACACCCTAAGACCCGTCGTCAATAACTTGCGAATTTGGTCGCTTATTAAGGAGGAGTTTAACGGCGATATTACCAGTAATACTGTAGTTACGTCGCCAATGGATATAATACCTCGATTGGGATCTTCTTCGAACACCTTCTTACGAAACAGAATTAAAAGTAAAAGTTGGTATATTAAAGACTTGCCATAACCAGTAGGAAGGACAGCCAATATATCTTCGCCCAAAAAAATCTTTTCCAAACAGATTACCTGCTTCGGCTTTAAATTAACATCGGAATATAAACTATGGATAATAGAAAAGTGTAGACACACGAGAAAATGCATGCATTTCGAATCCTTTTGATCTTTGAGGCTATTAAATCAATTCGCTGTCAAATTTCCACTCAAAGTCTCGAATTATAATATGTCGCGTTCACTCCTGCGAAACAAGATATCAAACCGGAAGCTGCTATTAACAGTATATCGTATTTCAACCACGCCCCCTAGGGACCTCATGTGGCGATTATTTTTTGTGGGTCACGTGACCAGTGTCAACCAG